GATTTTCACCTCACTCGGCTCCTGCATAAGTGTTTGATCAAGTTTGATTTGAAAATTAAAATTTATCTTTATTTGATTTAATATTATACAAGAAAACCTGGTAACTTTTTGGAATCAGGCTCTGTATATAATAAATATTTAATTTATAACACTTGCTAACCTCAACGTCTGCTTATTCTAATGACTAGAATTTGAAAAAATACAGCTTTTTCTTTCTTCTTTTTAATTAGACGTTTGCTTTTTTGAGGTTTCCTTCACCTTATAACCATATGGTTTTGATGAACCTACCTTTTGGAGGATTATAAGGCTTTCCACCGTTCCGATGATGAATTTCGCGTGTTCCTTAGGTATTAACTTTATGCGATGGCTCATTCTTTAAAAAAGAAAGATATGTAAGTATAATTCACGAGTTACCCTTATTGAGCCTATACTATCTCATAGTTTTGTATGCTGAATTTCGATAGATCACACTTTGATTGAATACCATTATGCTTTCGCTAGAACACTAATATTAGACTTTGCTTAATTTTAGAAATTATCATTTTCCTATTAATTCTAATATGTAGATGCATATCCATCTAGAGGAATTGAACCCCATTAATCATCAGTTCTTAAATTCTATATATAAAAGAATTTAGTCTTCTTTTATCGGAAGAAACGGGTCACACCATGAAAAATTCAGCTAAAGTAGCTCCTGTATAAGGCGCTAAGTATTGTAAAGTTGCTGGAGAATCGGCTGTAGCTGCTACAATAATCGTATACTCAAGAGCATCTCTTTCCTGCAAAGTTGTCACAACTTGTGCAATTGAGGAAGCCTTTTGTCCGATGGCAACATAAACACAAATAACACCTTTACCTTTTTGATTTAAAATTGTATCAACCGCAATGGCTGTTTTTCCTGTTTGACGATCTCCAATGATTAATTCACGTTGCAAAAATTTATTGGACCATATCTTTAACGATTTTTTATTTTCGTTAGGAAACGTATGGTCTCTGGGGTTTCTCAGTAGATTTTTAATTCCACTAATTGAGTTACCTGCTGATTACTTTAGATACAAACCCTAATTTTTACTTTTTAAAGAAAAGTATAGAGTTTTTATTTTTTATATTAGAAAGCTTCCAGCATATAGTTTCCTTCATTAAACGATTATTTACGCTTACGAGCCAATCGACCTCGTCCAATAGGAATCATCGAATCTACAGCCATTAAACCAGTTTGTAAAGGTTCATAAACGGATCTTCGGGAAATGATGCCAGGAGCATTAGATTCGATTAATCTTGTTTCTGTTGTTTCTATTTCCCCTTTTCCATCAATAGGTTTCGCTAAAGGAGTCACGATTCGCCCAAGAAAATTTTCTCCTACTGGAATTTGTGCAATTTTTCCAGTTGCTCTTACTGAACTACCCTCTTGAATAGCAGTTCCCTCTCCCATTAACACAGCACCGACATTTTTTGTTTCCAAATTTAAAGCAATACCAATTGTTCCATCAGCAAACTCTAAAAGTTCACCTGCCATTACTTTTTCCAAGCCGTAGATACGGGCAATACCGTCCCCAACCTGAAAAACGGTTCCGATATTAACGACTTTAACTTCTTGATTATATTGCTCAATTTGTTGACGAATAATACTACTTATTTCATCTGCTCGAATTTTTACCATTTTCTAAAAACTCCTAGATTATTTTATAATTGCAAATCAAAAAAATTGTCGATTGCAATAATGATTATATTAATTTATATTAAAAAAGATGCATGTTTTTTAGTAAAAAACATTATTGGGCTTTGATTATTTTTGATAATTACGAAATAATGCAATGTAAAAGTTATTAACAGAATTTTGAAATAGTCCATCATAACGATTTTCTATTTTTTTATAAACTTGTTTTAATGCTAAATTAATAACTTGTTTTGATAATTGTTTAATAGCATTCTGTTGTTGAAAAAGAATGGTATCTTGTTTGAGTTTTTTTAAGCGTTCAATATCTTCTACTGTTTGCTTTTTATATTTTTCTTTTTCTGTTTCAGCGGTTACTAAGCTTTGTTGCTTAATTTCCGTAACTTTTTGTTGAGAACTTATGAGTTTCTTTTGTGCATTATTTAATTTTTCAATTGCCTCTTCTTCCCTTTTTACAGCTTCTTGAATATTTGATACAATTAATTGTTCTCTATTTTTTAATAAGGATTTTAAAGCATCACCAACAAAAGATATAACAATAGCAATAACTACGTCTTATTCTATAGTTTGAAGAATAAAAGAGCCGTACGAGTTTTCTACAAAACAAACGGCTCTAGTATTTAAGAAATTTACTTAATTTTTTAGACAATCCTTGTTAGATGGGTATAAAAACTATTTATAAACAACACTCTCTAACTTAAATTTCTTTTTTAAATACTTTCGATAAATAAAAATTTTTTCAATTTTTCAGAATTTTTTATCGAATCGTTTGGATAAAAATGTCTATTTAATGATCATAAAATAAATATTTTTATATAAAAATCAGTTTTATTTTTCAAATAGTTAATTAAAAAGAAGGAATTTCAAAAAATAGAAATTCTAAAGCTTACTTTTTTTATTTTTTAGCTAAATAAAAAAAATTAATAAAATTTTTAACTAAATTTACAATCTTTGAAATTCAATAAAAATTTTTTATGCTGTTATTTACAACAAAAAAAATATACATTAAAAAAAATAATTTTCTGATTATAGGCTAAATTGATGATATTTGTATCAAAAATATTTGTATTAATTCCAAAACTTTCCGTTAAATTCATAGCACTGTGATATAAATCATAAAATTGAACGTTCTAAAATTTTAGAACGTTCAATTTCGTAATAATTTTTTAATTATATTGAATGAGTACCTATAATTTTCATAGATTTTGAATCTACGAAGCAAAAGGATTTGCAAAAAGTACAACTAAAGCTACTACAAGACCGTAAATTGTTAACGATTCCATAAAAGCAAAACTTAATAATAAAGCTCCACGAATTTTTCCTTCAGCTTCCGGTTGACGAGCAATACCTTCAACAGCATAGCCGGCAGCCGTTCCTTGACCAACACCAGGTCCAATAGCCGCTAAACCTATGGCTAAACCAGCAGCAACAACGGACGCTGCAGCAATTAATGGATTCATAATAAAAATCTCCTTTTTTTTTTTTTTTTTTTGTAATTTAAACTAAAATTTAGTGAATCGTATATTGAATAGACTATATTAGAGAACTTTGTAAAGATGGTTGATCGATCACTAAATATTAATGATGATCTTCTAAGGATTCACCAATATAAGCTCCAGCTAAAGTCGAAAAAACAAGGGCTTGTATAGCACTTGTAAATAATCCTAAAAGCATTAATGGGATAGGCACAATAAGTGGAACTAAAGCAATTAAAACACCAACAACTAATTCATCTGCTAGTATATTCCCAAATAGTCGAAAACTTAGCGATAAGGGTTTCGTAAAATCTTCGAGTACATTAATAGGGAATAATATTACTGAAGGTGTTATATAACGTTTAAAATAGGAAAAGCCTTTTTTTCTTAAACCAGCGGAAAAGTAAGCAATCGAGGTTAATAAAGCCAGTGCCACAGTGGTATTAATATCATTTGTAGGTGCAGCAAGCTCACCATTAGGTAATTCAATAACCCGCCAAGGGATTAGTGCTCCAGACCAATTAGAAACAAAAACGAATAGAAAAATTGTTCCTAAAAAGGGAACCCAATTTAAATATTCTTCTTCGCCAATTTGCGTTTTTGCCAAATCACGAATAAATTCTGTTACATATTCGGTAAAATTTTGCAACCCTTGGGGTATTGGTTTTAAATCTGAGTTTCCAGTGATTCCCAATCCAACAATTATTAATAAAACTAACCAAGAAGTTAGTAATACTTGACCATGTATTTGATACGGACCTATATTCCAATAATAATGTTGACCTACAGCAACTTCACCTAAAGTCAAAACGGGATTAAATAAAAAATTTTGAAAAGTAGTCATTTATTGAAAAAATAAGTTTTGTAAAAATTATAATTTATAAAATTTTTGATTTTTAACTAAAATATTTGAGGGCTAATTTGCCAAAAAAAGAATTTTTAAAAATTTTTATCAAATAAAATTTTCAACTTAATTATACATCGAGATTAAATTTTTTTCAACTGTTGTTTCTTTTGTTGATAGGTTGAATATCCATTTTTGATAGATTTGGCCAATTCCGTAATAATAAGTTTAATAGAAGCAATGGAATCATCATTAGCAGGTATAAATAAATCTGCTAATAGCGGATTGCAATTAGTATCCAATAGAGTGATTGTTCGTATTCCTAATTTCTGACACTCTTTAACAGCATTTAACTCTTTCTGTTGACCTATAATAATAACAATATCCGGCAGTTGCTGCATTTTTTTTAATCCACCAATATATTTTTCTAATCTTTGTTTTTGTTTTTCAAGTTTAACCTTTTCTTTTTTTGAAAAATTTTGAAAATTTTCGTATTTTTCCAAACTATTTAATTTAAAAATAGATTTTTGAATTGTGGACCAATTCGTTAATAGTCCCCCTAACCATCGTTCATTTACGAAAAAAGAGTTTGAATCGATAGCCGTGGATTCGATTATTTTTGAAGCTTGTTTTTTAGTACCTACAAATAAAATTTGTTTACCTTGGGAACAAGCCTCTTCTAAAAATTTTGATATTTTTTTCAAATAAAACCAAGTTTGAACAATATCAATAATATGAATACCATTTTTTTCTTTATAAATATACGGTAACATTTTTGGATTCCATTGATCTTTTGGATGCCCAAAATGAACCCCAGCTTGAATCATTTTTTGTAAAGTTTGTTTCATAATTGTGTTGTAAAATCAAAAATATTGATACTATAATGAGTTTGTTAGAATTCCTCATGAACTTATAACTCAAAATTTATCACTCTAATTCCTAAAAATCCGTTCGTCTATATTACAAAAAAATGAGCTTAGAATGCAAACGATAATTCTAATTTTTTTACCCCCGGGGGAATTTGAATCCCCGTTTCCTCCGTGAAAAGGAGAGGTCCTTGGCCTCTAGACGACGGGGGCAATTTTGTATGTATATATGATATCGAAAATGACTTTTTAAGTCAAGTGATAAAAATTGATTTTTTATATAGAATCTGTTATTATATTCAAAATAAAAAAAAAAATGGCGGTTCCTAAAAAACGTAAATCAAAAACAAAAAAAATTATTCGAAAAAAAAACTGGAAAACTAAAGCAATAATTTGGAAAACTAAAGCATTAGCTTTTGGACTAAACATTCTATCATCAAAATAAAAATACGGTCCAAACGGTCCAAAGCCCATGATCCTCTACCTTTCGGTTTATCATAATCCCATCTTTTGTGATAAACCGAAATTAAAACATATGGTAGATACTTCTAAAAAATAATTAAAAGTTATAGGTTCTATTTGTAAATATTTTTCAAAATTATCTATTAGCCTATTTAGCTCAGATGGTTAGAGCATTCGTCTCATACGCGGAAAGTCACTAGTTCGAATCTAGTAATAGGCAGCTTAATGGCAAAACTTATAAAAAATGTAGTTACAGAGGCAAAAGTCAATTCAAAAAATTTAATTAAAATCAAATTTTGACGCTATGTATTTTTCTTTATTTATGTTATCAAAAATTGGTCGAAGAAAAAATGCTGTTGCAAACGCTCTAATATGCGAAGGAGATGGTAAGATATTAATAAATGATCTAGATTTAAAAACGTATATGCAATATAATCCGTTTTGTATAAATTTAGTCAAAAAACCCTTTTCAAGTTTAGGTTTGGAAGGAAAATATAGAACAATAATTAAAGTTTCTGGAGGGGGTTTAGTAGGACAAGCGGAAGCGAGTCTTCTTGCGGTTGCCCGGGCTTTAGAAAAAGTCAATCCATCGTATCGTCCACTTTTAAAAAGTAAAGGATATTTAACGCAAAACGCCCGTGAAAAAGAGCGTCGAAAGTATGGGCTTAAAAAAGCTCGCAAAGCACCACAATTTTCCAAACGTTAATAATTCTTTTAATAAAAATTTTTTTCATATATTCGTCTCATGTCAATTACAACCCCGGAATTGATTGTTATAAAATTTTGTTGAATAGTTTTATAAATATTTAAAATATATTTAAATAAGAAACTTATGACTGAATAAAGTAAGAGTAAAAATACGAAATCTAAAAAATTTAGATTTCAATACAAATCAATCTTTGAAAAAAAAAATGTTTTTAAAACTTACTTAAATTTTATTGTTGTTATAAAATTTATAAAAAGGACGCATTTTGTTGCAAAGTCGTAAAAAAGACTAAACATTTTTTAAAAAAGAACTCTACTTTTTATCAAAAATTTTATAAAAAAATCAAAAAAAAGTGCATAGAGTTTACATAAATTTAGGAAATCTCTATAGAATGTAGCTTTTTGATATTTGATAAAAAAATTATTGAAAGAATATTTTATTGAATAGATAAAAATTAATTATATTAGCTATCCTTTACTATGAAAATAGTGTGATTAGTTATAAATAACCGCCCCTTGCGGATCATTTTAAAGAAATTATCGAAAAATTAAAAAATATAACACTATTAGAAGCTGTGGAATTAGTCAAAGATATAGAAGAAACTTTTGGCGTAGATACTAGTATTGGCGCACCAATGTCCGGCGGTCCAAATACAGAAGTATTAAATTCGACCGAAGGAACATCACAAAAAGAACAAACCGAATTCACAATAATTTTAGAGCAAGTGCCCGGTGAAGATCAAAAATCGAAACGCTTAAGTATTTTCCGACTTATTCGTGAAATCACTGCATTAGGTTTAAAAGATGCAAAAGAGTTAACAACAAAGCTTCCCCAGCCATTAAAAGAAGCCATTTCAAAAGAACAGGCCGATGATATTAAAAATCAATTAGAAGAAGCAGGCGCGAAAGTTAAAATTCAATAATAAATTAGAAAATACCTTTTCCTATGGTACTTACTTTTAAACTTTTTAAGCTAAATCTATCTTATATTATTTTATTATTATATATTCTTCTGTGTCTAGGAGATTTTAAAGGTTATGAAAAAATTTTTTCTAATATAAATATAAAATTTTATTAAATTAAAAAATTTTTAATATATAGGGTAATGAAATATAATTTCTCTAGAAATAAAGTTTAGAGAAGTTATTCCTAAATCTAAAATTAAATAATTGGTCTTAGATAAGATATTGGAATTGTATTAGCTACAGAACTATATACAAAAAAAATAATGTAAAACCAATATTATAAATTAGAACCCTAATTATTTTCATTTAGGTAGAAAAATTTTTTTGACTATTTTCGCGAAACGTCAATAGATTTTTGAAGTGTCCATTTCGATCTAGAAACACAAATTTTTAGCTAAATATATTGAAAAATATACATTTAGTTATATAAACATTTTTTATTTAATTTTTCAAAAACGTTTTTTAATAGGATTACTGGTGATTTTGATTCTGACACCACAGACGCCAAAAGAGAATTCTTTATTATTGAATTTCAATGAAAGTGGTCTCTTTTCGACTTATTCTGAATCAAAGACAGCCTTACAATTTATAACTTATATAACAATTTTTCTTTATTTCTTAGATTTATTTTTATAAAAAATGTTTTTTTTTCCTTATTTTTCGGTAATCATTTATAGTTTAGTTTTACTTTTTTTACCGATAGGTATTCTTTTACAAAAAGCAAGTATTCATTTATGGACCGACTTTTGGGATAGGGCAACAGAACCCGTTGCTCTATCTGCCTATTCGGTAACCTTTTCGCTAGCCTTTTTTGCATGCTTAATAAACACTTTTTTTGGATTTTTAATCGCTTGGGTGCTCGTTCGCTATCAATTTAAAGGTCGACAAATATTGGATTCTATTATTGACTTACCCTTTGCTATACCTACTTCCGTAGCAGGCTTTACACTTTCCATCATATATAGTGATAAGGGATGGATTGGCTATTATTTAACAAAATTTGGAATACAAATTGTTTTTACTAAAATAGGGATTCTATTGGCGATGATTTTCGTTTCTTTTCCTTTTATTGTTCGTTCAATTCAGCCTGTTATAATAACTTTGGAAAAAGAATTAGAAGAAGCCGCCTGGTCGCTAGGGGCCTCTTCCTGGTTAACTTTTTATAAAATTATTTTTCCAAATTTATTGCCCGCTTTATTTACAGGAATCACATTAGCTTTTTCTCGTGCCATCGGGGAATATGGTTCCGTCGTTATTATTTCGTCAAATTTTGCTATGAAAGATTTAATTACACCTGTCTTAATTTTTCAATGTTTAGAACAGTATGATTATACAGGTGCGACGATTATTGGCTCCGTTATTTTATTAATATCTTTTTTTCTTTTAATTTTAGTAAATTTTTTTCAAAGTTGGGCTCTTTCTTTTAGAAATTATTCCTAAAAGACATACTGGAAACCCAAAATTCTTAAAGTATCGAAAATTATTTATAGTCCTTTTAACTAATGATCAATTCGATCACCAGTCATTTTTAAAATAATTTATTATGTCTTTGGCCCAAGAAATTAAAAATTATTTAGAATTTTTTCATACAATTACAGACAATCAAACGAATAATTTCACTTTTTTAACATCTACGGGTATTCTGATTAAGTATAATTTTTTGTATATAATTCAATCTATAAAAAATGTTTTACTTTATATTTTTTCTTTAAATTGGGTTTTTGATTTTTTACAAATGCCCATTTATATACCTAAATGGCTTTCTTCAAATTTAAAAGAAATTTATTCGTTACACAATCCAGAAGATTTTATTTATAGTTATTCAAATGTTCTATCAAAATATAATATAAATGTAAAGACTCTATTTATTGAAGGATTTTTTACGAGTTTCTTTTTTTGTATTCCGAATTCGATTATACATTTTTTAGCATTGAGACGACTTATTGTCGAAGGTATTCCTGCAGGAATATCCGCCGCTTGCGGTACCTTGAGTGCACAAATGTTGTTTTTAATTCTTATCCTTACGGGATCTAGATTTTTTATTTTTTCATGGTTTAATTTAGAACCTTTTACTTATATTTTTGGAATTATTTTAGTATTACTGCTTGTATATAATATGGCCCATACCTCTATCAAGCGGGTTCGAAAAGAGGATACATCTAATTTAATAAAAATTTTTTTAATTAATTTTATTTTAGTATGGACTGAACAATATGGTTTATTTCCCTATTTAAGTAACTTAACCTTTAATCAAGGTGCTTCATTTTTTGAAATTGAAATATTACAAAATTGGCTACAAATACTATTTTATTTTCTCGGCTTTTCTATAGGAACAGCTTTATGGATTTTTGTTTTTGGATTTTTATTTTTACGCTTAAGTCAATATTTAGCTCAAATTTTAGTCCAATCCTATTCACAATGGATTCAAAAATTTAATTTTATTTGCTTGACCGTAATTATTGCTTTTTGTTTAGCTAGTTTTCCTTATTATGGTATTGATTATTTACTAGCATCACCTTTAGGATTTTATTCAGAAGATACTTTTCTTAATTCTGCACTATTAAAAACAGATATTAAAGATGTCTCAAAAGGTAGATTAGGTGAATATTCTGCCAATAGTTCAATAGATACTGATATTGCACCATATGATCGAGGTCGCTACGCTACAGGTAGCGAAATTGAACTGACTTTTGAAGATCTAAATTATCAAGGTGAATATATTTGGCGTTCACGTAGTGATCGTGTAGCTTCAGGATCCGCAGGTATTGTAAATCAATTTATGTCCAAATTTTTACCAGCTACAAAAAATTTAGCAGCTTCTTCCGAGGAGAATCTATTAGAAAAAATCGACCCATCGATTAGTCAAGAGGAAATACATTCGAATTCTTTTTATCTATATAAAGAAAATTATGAAAATTTTCTAGAAAGATTTTTAACAGACTATAACTCGGAAGTAAAAGATCCCTCAATTCCAGATACCATCAGCGAATCAGAAAATTTTTCTGCTTTTTCTGAGCTAGTTAAATATGGGTTTGACTCATTTGCTTCATTAGAAGATGTAGAATCTGATGAATTTGAAGAAGAATTAGGTAAAAAAATAAAGCAAAAATATTATAATAATCCTATATATAAATTTTTAGTAACATTAGATATTCAAAATTTTTTAAGACGTCAACCTAATGAATATTCTTTAACAGAAAATGAAGAAAACCTATTATTCGAAAAACGACAAATTTTAGCAAATTATTATAACAGTCTTCGATCTTATACTTTGCTGCCGTATTCAGAAACCTTCCAAAATTTATTTGGTGGGACGAAAACTTATGCAAATCGTGTTTATAATCAACAATATAAAGGAACATTAAAAATTTTACGACGTTTATTTTTAATAGATATAGACTCTAAATCAACTAAGAAATCTTCCATGTCGATTTTAAAGTATGATCAACCTCTCTTTCGAAATAAAAAATCGAATGATAATTTATTTTTCCATGAAGAATTACCGGCCAATCAAATAAATAAAACAGCTTCTTCTGAACTTTCTAATTTT